GAACTTTTAGAGATTTGTTTTTTGTTTTGTTTTTTCTGTTCTTGTTTTGTTTTTTTTTATTCATTCAGTCAATCATGATTTCGATATCAATGTTTTTATTCATTCAGTCAATCATGATTTCGATATCAATGAAATAGTGCAGAAAAAACAATTAAAATGTGTTTGTGTGTTTTTTTTTTTGCATTATTATTATTATTTGATTGAATTAATTGGAATTTGTTTTTTTTTCATCTAAATTAAAATTGGATTTATTTTTGAAAATATTAAAATCAAATTATTTATCCATTTTTTTCTCTACTGATTGTAATTTGAATATGAATACTTGTTGTTTGCATTATTTCAGCTGCTTGTCATTTTCTATGATTTGATTTTTTTTTTTTATGATCCAATTTTGGATTCAATAATCATGATCATTATATTATTATATAGCAATATTGACATGTGTATGTGGTTTATTATATAATGACATTTTGGGCAAGGTTAAATAGACGGCACCTTGTTTTTTTTTGGGTTTTGAAATTATTTGTTCTTTATTCATATGTGTGTGTGTGCCTGTGTTGTGTATGAAATTCCACAATTGAGGTGTGGGCGCCATTTTCAAGATTTACAAACAAAATAAATCCATAGCTTTGTGCACCTCACCTTGATGATGATGATGATGATGGTGGTGGTGGTGGGAGGAGAAGATTATGTAGTTGATGATGAGGAAATCTCTTGTTTAGAAACTGATTTTTTAATATAATTTTTTTTTGTTCATTTTCATTTTTTGGCTGCTCTAAATTTTCAATGAAAATGAATGATCATGATCCATCAAAGATGTTGGTCATCATAATCTAAGGTGTGTGTGTGATTGTGTGCACTATGGGAGATATAATCATTCAATCATAAAATGAAAACGATTTCCGGATCTCGTCTAGGTAATTTTTTTTCTTCTTTCACTAGAAATTCCGTTTCTCTTCGATCGAATCTTATCCGTTCATTTATAAAACAAAAAAAAATAAATGATGAATTGTAGAGAAAAAAAAATTATATTCATCATTTTCATGTCTGAATTCAAAGCCAATTGTGAAAAATCAAAAAAAAAAATCATTCTTTCCTCAGTTTTCATATTTTCAATTCATAGTGACAATTCAATGTGATTATATTGTGATAATGAAATAAACAAATTGAATTCAAACAACATGGACAAACCTATGGAGAATAATTTTTTTTTCTATCTTTCTTTCTTTATCATAATTGTTGTTACTAATTTGCATTTTGATCATTTTTTGCTCGAAATAATGCTGAAATGAATACACACACGCACAAAATAATCATCAACATCATTAAGACAAAAAAAAAGTATATGGTGGATTTCAATTATTTTTTTTTTTGTTTCTTTTTCCAAACATTTTTTTTTTGCATTTGCTGTTCCATGCGTTCCAATGTCAAATCAATTATCATGGAAAAAAAATCATCATGTTCATCAACAAATGATGAATATATATATGTTGACTTGATGATGGCTGATTATTATTAAATGCAAACAGAAACAAAAAAAAAAGATTTTGAAATGGATTTTGCAAGCAGAAATTATTAAATTTGATTATATTCGATTTGAATTGAAATTTAAACCAAAAAAAAATCAATTAGCATTATATTTACTATAAATCGAATGATGATCATATTTAATGTATGTATTTCAAATGTTTAATTTTCAATTATCTGTCAATCTCAGATGATGATGATGATGAAGATGACATTTTGGGATGAGATTATCAGGATTCATATATTGTTGTCGTTGTTGATGTTTGTAATTTTCATTTGTGAAAACAAACCATATGATTTCAACTTGAAATATTGACCTTTTTTTGGATGCCAAAATTAACAAAAAAAAAATTTGACTTTCAAATGTTTTTTTTCTGTTTCTGTTTCACTCATTCAACTCATCTCATCTCATTTCATCTTCATCATGAATGTGGATGTGTGTGTGTGTGTGTGTTTGTAGATAGAATCCGTTATGAATAGCCAAATTTTGTCGATTGTTTGATGTGTAGATGATGATCATATTTTTCTTTTGTTTTTTCACTCATTCATTCACTCTATATATCCATCAAGTGAATTACTTTACTTTATTTTTAAGCTCATTGTCATTCTCCCATATTTTGTTTTGTTTCTCTCAAATTTGGAACCCAAACATTATAATGTTGATCTGAATTTTAACATTTTTTTTTTTTTTTTTTTTGAACTTAATATTCATGAGATATGTGTGTGTGCGAGTATACATATAAATATAATGATGATATTTGTGTACGCCTGATGATGATCATCAACACCTTTTTTAAAAATAATAAATTCCTTCAATAATAATCAAACCCATCGTTCCCACATCTCATTCTAATATGATGTGTGTGAAACAAACAAAACTACAACTAATGATAATTTCGATGATGATGATCATCTTCATCATAGTACACGATAATTATATTGAATCATTATCATAAATAAATAAATTGCAAAAATCGAATGATCAAGTAAAAAAAAAATATGATGCTAATCATTATATGGTTGTTTGACCAATATATTGAATTGAATTTCATTGTACTGACAGAAATCTTAATAATAATAATGATATTCATCATCATGAGAGTTTGATATTTGTGGCTTTTGAATAATAAATGAGAAAAAAAAATCATTACATAATTTTTTTGTGTGCTAAAAAACTTTATTTGTGATTGAAAAAATGTTTCAAATTATTATTCAAATTAATTTAGTATTGTTACGTGTGTGTGTGTGCATTGTGTGTCTTTATTTTGTCATTCTGTTTGCTGGAAGCTATACAAATCATTGAAAATCTATAATGATAACTCACACAGATCAGTGTGTGGTGTAATTTTGTTTGTTTGTTTGTTTTTACTTTTTTTTCCTACTCTCAATTCAATCCAATTCCATTGATCAACATTTATCTTTTTCCACATTTTATGACCACTATCTTTATCTTGTTTTGTTTTTTTTATCTAGTTAATTTACTGTGGATATCGAACCAAAAAAAAAAGATGTTTGTGTGTGTGTATCTAAAATTAGCTTCCATATTTTATCTACAAATTTCGATCCATGTGCGTGTGTGTGTGTGTGTGTGTGTGTATTTGAAGCTTCTCACTATTAAAATAAAAAATGAACGACCAGTGGTTCCCAACTTGTTTAATATGAAAAAAAAGTAAAACCTGTAATTCATACTATTTTGATATTATCATTGTCCATTATTTTCTATTCGTTAGTCATGGTGAAAATAAAAAAAATCAGATAAATATTAACAGCAAAAAAAAATTTCAATAGATACCAGGATTGAATTGATGATTCGATTTTTTTTTCAGTTTCGAACCTGAAATAATGGTAGCAAAAACAAGAGAAAAAAAATGAAAAGTTTATTTGTGTGTGTGTGTGTGTGTGTGGGAACCAATCACGATTCTCGATGAAAATACAACAAAAAAAAAGTTAAACTAAACTCTCACTAGGATCATATATAATATATATTATCAGTTGAATGATTTTTCTAAAAACAATCGTGGAAAAGCGATTGACAGTGAGAGAGAAAGAGAGAGAGAGAGAGAGAGAGAGAGAGAGCGTACAGCACGAAAATTAGGCGCCAATTAACAAGATTAATAACCATAGATAGATTATTGTTGTCTCTATACAATGGTAATGATGATCTAATTCTTTGATTTTTTTTTTTTTTTTTGCTAATATACGCCCGAATTACTTTAAAAAATGTTCACTATAGAAAAACAAAACTGTGTTCCATTTCTGTGGATACATCATAATAGCATCTGTTTTACTTTGTTTTTCAGTTGTTATTATTAGAATTAGTGAAAGTAGCTTGTATGTTGATGATCATCAATGATACAACAATGATGATTTTCAATTTCAACATTTTATTCTCCATGTCGGTTAATAAATTTTGTGATAAAACTTTTTTTTTCAAAAAAAAAAAAAATTAATCACTGTGTTTATGATGTGATTTTTTTTCCAATTTGAACAACAATAAAAAAAAAGAAAACCTTTTTTTTCATTATTTGAATATGCTGTGACAAAAAAAAATAGAAATTCAAATCGAATTTATTAAATTCATTGAAAAGTTAAATTTCGAAATTTTTTTTTTTTCATGAATTTCGTCGAGAAAAACAAAAGACGAAAAACAACAATTTTTTTTTTTTTTAGCAATCTTGATGATTGTCAAGTAGGTGTGTGTGTGAAATGAAAGAGATTTGTAACAAATGATTGTCAAAATTGACCATTACATTACAATCGATTGAGAATATATATATATATATAGTATATATCGGTTTAAATTCAAATCGAATTTTTTTTTTTGCTTTTGCTTTTGCTTCAATAATGTTCCATTTGTAACAATAGTTATAGTCAACAAGATTCAATTTCTAAATAATAATTATGTGGCCATTTATTTATTTTTTTTTTTGCATTGTGATTGCCTTGAAAGTTTTGTCTGTTGTTGTTTCTGCTGCTGCTGCTGCTGCTGCAGAAAAGAAACAAGTGTCAAAAACATTTTTTTTTTTGCCGCTTTTTTTCTCATTACATTTTTTTGTCGAAGCTTAAAATATCGATACATATTTTTTACGATATAATTTTCATTTCATTTTTTTTTTATCATTCATTTCCCCCCACTCACGTTTCCATAATAATGGCCATGTTATTCACACGTGTTAAAAAAACTATTTTATGTGGTGGATTAATATCGATACGTGAACAACAACAACAACAAAAAAAAATTGATTCAAAATCAATTTGTCAATATGCTTACGCGATTTGTGAAAATAATCCTCATGGATTTAGAATTGAATTTTAGTATATAGAATTCAATTGAAAATACCATGTTTTGTGAAAAATCACCACAGTGAAAAATCAACAAAACAACAAAATCAAAGTTTAAGTAAATTTTAAAACATTGAAAATTATTACGAAAAATCAACAAACGATTGAAATCAAATATAGGTAGTTGGTGATGTTGTTTTTTTTGTGTGATGAATGAAACCGGACCAAATGTGAAAAAGAATAGATTGAACATCCGTTCAATTTATCATCATCATCATCATCATCATCATAAGAAGGCTTTACACTTCAATGTTTGTTTGTTTGTTTGTTTTTTTGCAGAAAAAATTTACCACTTGGAAAATAAAAAATTTAGTAATTTAAGAAATTTTGCTTTTTCTAGAAAGTTTTTTTTCAGGTTCGTTCACACACACACACACACATTCGGCATATTTTTTTTTTATCGTCAGAATTTTTCTTTTCACTCACTTTCATATACATTTCATTAGGAGGGTGTGTAAGGTGGTTGTTAATTCAAACATTGTTATACATTAGACTTGGAAGTGGATTCACTACTGTTACAACTATCAATCGTCTTCAATATGGATGGTTCTTCCATAGATTCGGCTTTCATTTTCATCATTGGATCTTGTTTTACGGCTAAAGTGGTAGTAGTTGTTAACTGTTGCTGTTGTTCTTGTTGTTGTTGTTGTTTGTCCATTTTGTGCGGTTTTCGTGTTGGTTCTGATGATATTGATTTATTATTATGATCATCATCAAATACATCTGCATTTCGTCTATCACCGAGTCGGAATACTTCAGTTTTTGAACGTCGAATTGAATTCATTCGTGATTGACTTGACATTAGACCCGGTGTGATGTCGATAACTTGATCCAATTCTATGTATGAACAAACATGTAAAATTAAAACATGAAAAAACAAAACATAGAATTGACTCTTCGAAACTTACCATCACCACGATGGATTGTATATAATTTTCGACCTTTAAGATATGGATTATAAGGAATCATGATGGCCTCATCTCGCCTATCACGATGATAATCATTAAGACGACGATAAAAGATGGATGTTCGTTCAAAACGGGCATATGTTGATTTTCTCGTTGAATCTGTTTTTAGATATGTGAAGCAATTTACAATGAATATTAAGGATTTATATACGTGATGATGTGTGTCTTACCGCTTCGATATGAAGTACGGGTCTTTACACTTGTCGATTTTGGTGTAATTTGTGTGGATTTACTCAATTGCTGCGGTGGGGAAACTGGAATTTGTGAAACTTTACTTTTGGCTACCTGCACAGATGATACAATAAAAAGAGGAAATTCGGTTCTTGTTTGAAACAATGGCTGTTGTTGATCATCTGTGGCTATTTTGGATGTGGATATCACCAATCTTTCTGGTTGATCATCTTTAGCCGTAACAGACATGGATTTAGATTCCGGTTCGATGGCTTTAACTATTGTTACTGATTTTTGCTTCAATTCAAATCTTTCTGGTGTTTTTGTCATCACCGGTTTGGGTAATGGTTTCAACGAAATGGATTTTGGTTTAGACGGAAGAGATGCTGGTTTCGACGAAAGTGATTTGGGTTTAGACGGAAGAGATGCTGGTTTAGACGGAAGAGATGCTGGTTTCGACGAAAGTGATACTGGTTTCGACGGAAGAGATGCTGGTTTCGGCGGAAGAGATGCTGGTTTTGACGGAATCGGTAATGGTTTCGACGGAAGAGATGCTGGTTTTGACGGAAGAGATGCTGGTTTCGGCGGAAGAGATGATGGTTTTGGCGGAAGAGATGCTGGTTTTGACGGACTTGGTAATGGTTTCGACGAAAGTGATGCTGATTTCGGCGGAAGAGATGCTGGTTTCGACGAAAGAGATGCTGGTTTCGGCGGAAGAGATGCTGGTTTTGGCGGACTTGGTAATGGTTTTGACGATTTTGGTTTGATATCAGCTTTGATAGACTCTACTACTGTTGTTTTGATTGTAATATGTTCAACAAGTGGAGATTTTGTCTCTGGTGTTGCTACTTTAGTTTCGATCATTGTTTCAAAAAATTTAGGTTCTTCATAAGTTTTCGCTGCTCTGGCTGCTGCTTCAGCTTCAGCTTTCAACAATGCCATCTGAGATTTTTGTTCTTCCACAGAATTCATGGGTGTGGGAGATTTCCTTATGACAAATAGCTCAAGTTTTTTACTGGATGGTTTTGATTTGAAGGGTTCAATTTTTGATACTTTTAGAATCGTTTCGGTTATACCAGCTGCTTTAGAAGTTTCTCTTACAATTGTTTTCGATTTTTGCTTTTTGGTATCTTTTTTGGTTTTTGTCGATTTTTTACTCTTTTCAAATAATTTCGGCTGAATTTTCGATTTACCTTCCTTAACTGATTGAGTTTCAAGTTTTGATTTGGATCGTTTTTCTTTAATTTTTTCGGCAACAGTTTTTGCCATTCTTGGTCGTAAAGCAGTACTGGTTTTTGATTGTTTTGTTGAGACATTTGAGTGTGATACTTCCACCTTCCGTTTGGAAATTGATTCAACCTTTGTGGAGGATTGATTTTTGGAAGTCTTTTTTGAAGATGTAGACAACTGTTTGTTACCACTTGTCTTTGACGATTTAGCATCGATTGGTATTATTATCAATTTCGACAAACTTTTGTTCTGTGGTGATTTAGCTAAATTTGTACTACTCGTTTTTATAATTGATGTTTTTCGTGCTGTCGTTTTCATTTTACTTTGGCTTCGTTCATTTTTGCTTTTCTTTCGAGATTTTTTCGATATTGTTGATGATTCTTTAGCCGTTTTCCCTTTGATCGACTGTTTGGATAGTGATCGATTTTTTTTCATGGTTATACTTGGACTTTTTTTCACTAATTGAACTTTTGATGGTGATTTTGTCCGTTTATTTTGCTTATCGGCCATATTCTATAGGACAAACAATAATAATAATACCCAAATAAAAAGTAATAAAAAAAAATGACTAACGTGTTCTATGGAATCGATCGAATATTTTATACCCAGATTCGACAATGAAAACTTGGTGAAAAAAAAATTCGATCCAAAATTTCGCCAAAAATAAAAACAATTGATTAATTAGCCAATTAATTCTTTTTTTGATTTTGATTAAATATTACCAACTAAAAATATACATTAATAAACCGGTAACGAAACGATGAACAACAACAACACCACCAACAACAACAACAACAAAAACAACAATCCATTTCGACAATAATGTATTATGGTTGTGTTATTAGAAATCGAACCAAAAAAAAAAAGAAAAATTTCACGTTCGAATAATGTATTATGGTTGTGTTATTAGAAATCGAACCAAAAAAAAAAAAAAGAAAAGTTTTGATCACGTTCGATCATCATGATGATGGCATGATGAATTTTAGGATAAAATGAATTGATTAGCCACAATTATTTTTGATTGCTTGGTGAATTTTCGTTTTCTTTCTTGTTTTTTTTCCAATGAAGATTGTCTTTTAATAATTGTGGTTGAACAGAAATTATTGATTAGAAATTAATCAATTATAACAAATGCTATTTATGGACATTGATTATCAATGATAATGATGATGATGATCAGTCATGAATTCTATGAAAGGTTCGAAATTTGTTCGTTGTTCCAAATCGATTAAAGTTGGATAACAGATGAATGTGGTTTTTTTTTTTTTCGCTGGTATGTCTTATCTAACACAGAACGATTATAATTTAATAATCTCTCTCTCTCCTTTTAGTCGTCTTACCTGTAATCAACCTGAATTTGTCCGTAAAAACAAAACAACAACAAAAAAAATCAATCCTTGTATCAGGTCAAACTTTTCGCATAATTTACCATTTCGTTTCTTGTTTTTTTTTCGTTCGTTCTATTTAAAAAGATTTTGATTCTGATTTTCTTTCGAAAAGCAATATTCAATATCTTTACATCTTTAATCTATCGTCATTAAAATTTGCATCGCATAAATTTTTTTCATATTATTTCAATAATGATAACATCTATCACTCTGTACAATATTAATGATGACGATCACTCTTCCTCTCCCCCTTCATTACTTTTATCTAAACGAATTTGTTAAATCTGTAATTTATTCAATCCTTTCACGTTCCAAAATTTCTCACTCACTCTCTCTCTCTCTCTCTCTCTCTCTCTCTTGTTTCACTATGCTATTTTATTCATGGGATTTATTTGTTTGATTGATTGATTGATGATAGATCGATAGATCAATCATTTTGTTCTCAAATTAGATCGATATTAGATGTATTTAACAACAAATTTTGCTATACTGACAATGATAGCGTAAAAATACTTTCACTCTCACTTATGTAAGTTTCCATATATATTATTTAAAGTAGATCTCATTCCTATTGTTAGACAATATATTTCAATAAGGCAGTTTAATATTTTGATTTTGATCCATTCCCTATCAATCAATCAATCAATCAATCAATCAATCGATCAATCGATCAATCGATCGATAAACATAGTGTTTTGTTAGGGTTACCAGATCCAGTGAGGACAGGAGGACATGTCCTCCTTTCGGAAATTTTCTCACATAACAAAAAAAAAATTTTTCAACAAAAAGTTCTATGTTTTCTCATTGTTGTCATTAACACTTTTTGGTATAATTTTCGTATTATATGAAAACAGTGCATGCAACAATTTAGGGAAATATTCAACAGGTTGACAGTGTAATAAGAAACAATAACTGTATAGGAAATATCGATCGTTTAATCGTGATTGGAAAGTTGATGATTTTTCCTTTTTTACGATTGGATGAGAATAACAGTTGATGTTGAATCAGCGGTTACGAGGCTTCCTTTTGCTTTTATCACTGATGATGAAAATACGAATAAAGGTGGTATCAACATTGACAAAAACGCCAAGATCAAAACCGCGAAAACTACCTTGTTCATAATCGTTTAATCGTGATTGGAAAGTTGATGATTTTCCCTTTTTTACGATCACTGATGATGAGAATAACAGACAAAAAACGCTTACCCTATTTAAAACAAGATGTAATCATACATCAAAAAAAAAAACATTTGTTCACTTGTTGGTAATAGCCAATGATGAACTGTGGGGATGGCTACGAGGCTTCCTTTTGCTTTATTTCTATTAGTCCAAATGTTTTTTTTTCATCTATCTGATGATGATGATGATGATGATAAGAAGCTCACCAGTACTCCTTTTTTTTCATTTAACAAATCGGTAATTCAGCCGTTTCTTATATTTCCACAAGTGTTGATTATTCTTCATTGATCAATTTTATTTGGTTTTTTTTTTACTTTCATTTCCAATTGTTTTGAATGGTAGTTTAATTTGATCCAAAAAATTGATCGTCTTATGATGAAAAAAAAATGATCAGAATGACTTGCGGAGATTTTTCAATCATATAATTTTCAATTTTTTATGGTTTTTGTGTTTTTTTTTTGAAAAAAAAGCTGTATTTAGATTTTTGTTTGCGTGTGCGTGTAACGAGTTAATTATTATACTACTTCATAATATGGTAAACCGATGTGTACATTTTAAATATCTTTTTTTTTTAGTTTTGTAATTTTGTTGACAACACGTTTTTTTTGTATTTTGTTGTTGATTTCTATCATTATCATCATTATCATCATCAACAACAACATTATCATCATCATTAAATTATAGCGATGATTATTTCTAATTAGCCATTGTTGATCAACAAAAAAAAAAACAGAATATCTATTTAAAGCTGATGAAGCTGTTTCCGGCTATTGTTTCGATAGAAAAGTGAATGAATCCCTTTCATTTCATTTTTACATTTATTCATTTTTGTTGCATTTATGTTTTAATCTATTCTAAATAACTTAATTTTGCTATTCCGGTTTTATTATTATATTTTTGTTTTGTTTATTTCATTTTCACTTAGGCGTATAACGATGCCGATGATGCCAATGATGATGATGATCGACTTGATGTTTTTTTTTTGGTTTATTATTGTTGTTGTTGTTGTCGGTTTTTTCTTTTTTTTACAGTCCTTTTTTTTATCTATAAACTTTTGTTTCTTTTTTTTCCATCAAGATTAAAATTTTTGTTGTTTTTTAGGCGTTTTCTCAAATACAAGAAATGTATTTTTCACTTTTCTGAAATGGTTCCGGATTCTCGGCAACAATATGAAAAGATGTAATTGATAAGTTACTGATCCATTTTTTTAATTTTTGATTTAAATCAATTGAAGAAAAAAAATTTGTTTATGATCAAGTTCGAAAGAAACCACTTATTTTTGGACATCAAAATTGTCGAATAAAGTTTAAAAGTTGGTAATTAATAACAAGTGAAATAATTTTATTTACGATTTCTGTCTGTATCCATCTTATCTAATCTTTCTGTGTTTTTTTTCTCTTGAATTCAGCTTATTTGAGCATATCTTAATGCTCAATCATGTTCTATTTTCGTGTTTGTATGTAATGTTTAAAGAAATGAAGAAATGATTTACAAAATGAGAGTTTTCTTTGATTCAATTGATTGATCGATTAAAAAATTTGTTTTCAAACAACAACTACAACAACAACAACAACAACAACAACAGTAACAATTAATCTGTTTGCTATTGTTTTGACAATTGTTGAGACTTCAAGGGTGGTTGATAAACAGGATGAGAAAAAAAAGAAGCGTGAAATTATCCCAAAAAACGATTTCCGGTATACCAATAATACAGGAAAATTTTTTGATAATGTAGTGCATACATGTTGTCGTTGTTGTTGTTGTTGTTGTTGTTGTTGGATGATCAATCATGTTCATTCAATTCAAATCCGATCAAATCATCATCTTTTGTTGTTGTTGTTGTTATTGTTAGATTTATCATTCATTTTAGATAACAAAAAGTTTTTTTTCATGTATTTTATATTTTGAATTGATTTGTTTGTTTGATGTAATTTATATTCATACATTGAATTTAAATCCGTTTTTTTCAAAGAGAGAGAGAATACGTGTTGCATGTTCGACATGTTGAATTCGAAGAAAAAAATTTCTATTTTCTTTTCTTTTTCATTTAAATAATAAATCCCTCTGTTGAAAAATACGCGATTATTTTGATTGGATTTTAACTATAAACGGATTTATAATCAGAATCTTTGGCTTGAATAATTTTTGATGATTGGACATTATCGATTATCATAAACATTATTATCAGTAATAAATTAACAATTTAATGTCGATGCAAATATCAAATGTTCATCATCATCATCATTGTACTATGATGAGGGAAAATGTTTCAGGAAAAAAAACGGCAAAATTTTAATGCTTTTCTGGAACAAGACAGATGGAAAAAAAATCCATTGGTTAGATTTCTCTTTTTTTTCATGATTTCGACATTTTCATTAAATTTATTATTTTTTTTCTGTTTTCATATTGCCTCTTAATTTATCTGATGATGATGAAATATTTCAATCATCCATGGCCATCATCATTTCCAATGTTTGAAAAGAAATTTTTTTTGTTTGTTTGTTTCTGTGAAATGAAATTCAATCCGGGTTTCCAATCTTATTCGAAAAGGTTACAGTTATAAATCCTTTTTGCAAGAAAAAAAAATCCACAGATCAATATTTAAGATTTTTAAAAACAAAACTATTACTACCAATTGAAATTATAAAAATGAAAAATAATAGAGATGATGCTATTTTTTCACTTACTATGTGAATAAAATATCTGGGATAATTGTTTCTGTTTCTCGTATCAATCATCATCATCATCATCTGTTTTTATTATTATCGAAAATGATCAATTTCTGAAAGTAAAAAATGTTTACAACAAACATGGCTAAAATACAAATTCGTGAATCAATTGTTTTTCAATGAAAAACTACGTCCTCTCTGAAAAAATGAATGGCCAAAGTGAATATACCGACAATTAACACTTTTTGTTGTTGTTGTTGTTGCTGAACGATCAAAAACGATCTCTATCTTCTGGCTACTTAGAAACAAAAATAAATAAATATTCGAATTTGTAATCAATTTCAACAACAACAACAACAAAAATAACAACAGTCAATTGACTTTGATCACTTGTTGTTGTTGATGATGTAAAATTAATTGAGTGGTCATGACATATGGCTTATTATGATGATGATGATGATGAT